CCAGTTGACTGAACAATTTAGCTGCTATTTAAAACAATTCCATTAGTAAAAATTGTTATTTTACTAGCTACAAATATTTTAAATGAGGCTTTCAACCTTACTTCCTTTGGCACAGGTTTCATCATTGCTATGTTTCTTCACATGATCACACAAAAATGGAATCTAATTCCATATTTACCACACAAACAACTACTCTCTAATATTTCCACCTGCCCATAATATTTCCATCTGCCATTTTTCACCACTTAAATTCTCTATTAAAAGGATAACTACTGAATTAACTTTGCTTTCCATAAAGCCAAGTAATGCAATAATCGGTATCCTTACATTTGTTTGTATATTTTACCTTTTTCAATAACAACAGGAAGGAAACCAAAGCATGAGGTAGAGGGACCATAAAACATTACCAAATTTTTCCCCCCAAAATCTACCATGCTTTATTTTCTGACTCTTGCTTCTACCTGATTGGAGATTAATAATTAGAGTGTTTACATGAAAAAGTGTACTGTCATATATAATCTTTTCTTTGAGTATGCTGTGGAATTTTCTATTCTTTTGTAGCAGAAACAAAGACAATCTATTTAAAACTCTGAATTCACAAGCAATTTTATGAACATCTGTTTTTTATATCATAGATTAAAATTTTGAAAGCTCCTTTACAAATTACCATTCTTTTATGAACACTTACATGTTAAGCTTTGACCTCAAGCTATCCATAAGGATATAACCTAAAATTCAAGCTGCCAAAACTTACAATGATTAGCTGATGGCCTTCTCTCTACTCACAACAGATATTTCTACTGCTGGCATTAAAATTGTCGGTACTTTGAGACACTCTCTCCTTAATGAGGGAACAAAACAAATTGTGAACATTTCTTTAGTCATAGGAATTTACTCTTTCCTTTCTGGGTGCGGTGTTGCTCTTTTTTTTTCCTTTTGTGCTGGAATTTTCAGGTTTTCATTGCAAAATTAATTGGCATATACAAGCTCTTTTATACATGCAAGTAAAGAATATTTCCATCTTCAGTAGCACTTTCTGTTTTGAAGCCTATTATGCAACAAACAATAAAAAATTTTTAACCAGTGAAGAGTATAAACTCATTTACAATGGGGTACAGGCACTGTTAACATAATTGTTGTGGCTGTTTCAAAGTTCCAGCAGAGAGCTGCTACACTTGAGGGACTGTGATATATTCACATTCTCCCAAAACACGTAGTTCAAGATTTCAGTTATATCAAATTTTAAAAGTTGATATCTGAGCAAAAAATATCATAGCCAAGACTAGATGTATCTCCTGTGACAGCTCAAATTACAGTACTATTATTAAAAACTAGGTTACAATACCTTCCTTTGCTATCATTATGTGCACCCTGCAGAATTTCATTATTTTATAAATAAACTTCTTCTGAGGACAGAGAAAAGCTCTTTATTAATAAAATGATATTAAAGTATTATGTTCCACATTTTAAAAATTGCTTTGCAACTTATTGCCTGCCATTTAGATGGTAAACTAAGAAGGTATCACTAAACAGTCATACACCATGTCTAGGATTAGAACGGGAAAAACACAAAGGTCTCTTGGATTACCTTCTCCCATTTCTTCTACACTTTAAATTTACTAAATGTTTTATCTCACAAATATTGAAAGCCAACTTTTGGCTTTCCTACTGAAATGTTGATGATTTGCTTATAGATGAGTTGCATACTCTAATCTTCAAAGCACAGATTTTCTGCATAATCCATTTTCTGGCTAGTAACAGAAGTAAGAATTAGACAGAAACCTGCTCTTTTGAGAAGCTGTAAGAGGGACCTGCAAAATGCATTTTCCTCAGTTTTTCCATTTAGAGCACCCCACTCAACCTGCTAAAAAAAAAAGTCTAGAGAGACACAGCATCACCCATGGCAATTGTAATCTTGCTGAGAGTTCTGCTGGATTTCCCTAGCAGATTTCACAGAGTTCTTGGTAGCACTGCAAAGGTTTCCAGGTTCTGAACATCACAGATAGAAAACTTTCAAGATGGTGTGGTTGAAAGTTTTTTATGGATTTCGTGTTAGGAACTTGACTCCACAGCTGAGAGGTAGCAGAGTTCACTGCTGAACTCAAGGCATCTGAGTCAGAAGTAGCTACACATGATCCAACTAAAATGTCACTGTGTGCATGGCCAGAAGAAGGAACAGTACTTCTCTCCAGGCCTGTGATTTGAACAATAGTTTTCCTTTTCCCACACACGTAAAAAATATTATGTGGGTTCTTAAGTTATGCTGGTGATACATAAATTAGAAAGCATTATTTTTATTTGCACCACAAGTCATGTGAAACAACTTGCAAATCTGAGTGTTTTGAAAGCTTACTCTGAGAATAAATGCACTGAGACACAAGTGCTCTAGACACTGAATTTTTAGGAAAGTTATGCAGGTCTTTGGGAGGCAATGCACTACAGATGCAACACAAATGAAGATTTAGAACATTTAGAACTAAGCTTTTATTTTGACTGTATAAATACAGGATTTTTTAGCTACGGAGGGTGGTGGACGTGTGAGAATTGTCTAACACAATTTCATTCAACCCTAAATATTTTACAGTTAATTAATGATCTGGATTTCAGTATTCACAAATAAGAGAAATGAGTGATGTAATAAATTCTTCTATCTTAATTCCAACACCATAGGCTAATCCACTCAAGACCTCTAGAACTACAGAGGAGTGAATAAAAGCTAATTCTACAATGAAAGTAATTAATTTAGCACTTGTACAAAGCTAACAATGATGAGAAATCACTAACAAGGAGTTGCCTGTTAACTGAAATCAATTCCACATCTAGAAACAGAGATGGATTTGAACCACTGTGTTCATTCACATTACAGTAGGACCTCTTAAAAACCCTAGAAAGAAATAAAGCCTGCACAGTGTGTGACTACACTGAAGGCAGGGCACCACACAGGCAGCCAGACAACAGGTATTACTAAACTCACCAGAAATACATGATTTCCAATCAGACCAAGTATTCTGGTGTTATCTGTAACAGTTTTGTAGGACAAGAGTAATTTCTCCAAGATTTAAAGATCAAGAGCTTTTTGATTGATTGATTGTTGAAATAAGATGATTTTGTCCAAAACACAGGTGATGCTTGAGGTAAAGAAACTCTCAAAGCATAGTGTTTAGGAGGTTTTCTTCAGAGTCCAAATGAAATAGAGGGAAATTACTATTTCTCTAGTATGTTTAGGAATGCATTTTCACATGCAACTAAAAGTACTACGTATAAAACTCAAGTAAAAAGTAGCTAAAACACCATTACAGTACATTTCACTGAATTAGAATTGGAGAAAAGGCCTCTAGATCATTCAGATGATCGAGTCAAGTCTACCATTAAAAGCATCTGCTGATAGGTCATATTTTCTAAACCCTATATAACTCTTGTTGTTCTTCAGCAACTTGGTCCAAGCTTCTTTGTAATTGCAAGCTTTTCTATTCCATAAAACAATCATTTCTGAGAAAACAATGCTCTAGGAACATGACATTTTCTTTAGATATAGGAGCAACAGTTACTCTTCATTTTCCATAACTATTTCTGTGACCATAACAAGGCCTAACTGGTAACACATTTCAAATTAGGTTGTATCAGATGACTGGTGCTGGGGCTATTTTTTCATTTATGGAACACTAAGATTATAACTTACTCAAGCTAAAAATCTCGCTATTGTCAAGTAAAAGAAAATAATTACATCTTTTACCTTCTCTAAAACACTTCCATTATCAGAGCCATAAAAAAGTTGCTTTTTTTTTCTTTTTTGCAATGGTATCCTGTTGCTGATTCATTTTGTTTGTGATTCGAAACACTTCTGAGAGCTCTTCTTTGCTTTATTATTGCCAGCCCAACTATCCTCACTTCTGTATGCATATGTTTTACTGCTGTCCTAAATATAATACTTCACAGTTGTCTTGTAATTCATCAATCAGTTTGAGACCATTTGTTCAAGACCGTATTTCATCCTGATCCAATCCTCCAAATTGCTGGATGCCTCTGCTGTAAAGATGCTGAGCACAAATCTGTGCTGTCTAAATCACTTGAATAGCTATTAGAAAATGTTCTAGACCATGGAAAAGCCCTGAGGGACTGCCTGTTGGACTAAACCACTGCTGAGCATGTTTTTCAATATTATAGTGGTTGTATTTAGATTATTTTACTCCTCTTTTTTAATGCATAGAATCAGATGGGACACAATTAAAAGCTGGATTAAGCAAAAGATACTTAAGTTACTATTTCATTGTTGCCTATTACCAGATAAAATGATAAATCGTCGGATTGATTTGTTTTATTACTGGCAAATACAGTTGAATAATTATCCTCCAGGAATTTTAAAAAAAAGTTTCATCAAATTAATAGTGTAAGTTAAATTTTTCCTGTGTGTTAAAGATAAAATGCTTGCATACTGCCAGAAGGGCATGCTTTAAATAAATTAGTTATTTTGTCTTTTTTTTTTTTTTCCCCCAGTACATTTATAATCTTTACCATTCTCAAAAATAACTATTTCAAAACACATTATAATTGACTTTCATAATTTGGTAACTGGATCACACCTCTTATCTTTAACCTTTCTCCTCTGCAATTCATCTAGTTTTATTAAACTTGTAATTGCAATCAGAAACAAGAAAAGACAAGGCTAAAGAGGAAAATCCTCTGCATGTTAGGGACATAACAAAGGACCCCAACAAACAGTAATACATATGCATCACTATTTTGAGAAAAGGCAAATACAGAGGCAGAGAACACTTTGAAAGAAGGATGGCTTATTACATTTCAACCTCTACTGAAATCAAAGGAATAAAACTTGGACATTTTTTCTAATGAGTCAGTCAACTGCCTTCACCAATACCTGACACTTTTAAATGTTATGTTGAAAATTAAGCCTCAACAGAGGAATATTTGGAGTTTCTTTTTGTTTCTTTTAAAGATACAAAAGATATTTTGGTCAGTAAATACATAAAGAAATAAATTACCTTAGCAAACTGTGCATTTATCCATTTTGTGAAAGTTTTCTTTTGAACATCTTCCCGTTCATCTGCCAGAAAAAAAGTAAAGCACTCCATTAGATTTATTCAACAAAATAGTACAATATTACTGATTAATGTTTCAGTCTTGGTTTGTTTTAAAGCTACTGATGATACTTCAAACACCTTCAGGGCACCATTTTGGATGTATTCTGTCCTTGCCAATTACATCAACATATTTTGAAAGTCTATAGGTCCCCTTCATTCAGACCCTTAATGGTCTATATCCCTAGTTCATCTGACCCATCCTGTGGTGTCTTTCCTTCCAAAAGAGAACGTATTGCAGTAGGACCTGAAACATCCCATTCTAAATTTTAATTTAATACAGGTATGAAAAAAACCAAACATGTGATCCAATGGTTTCGGCATCAGGACACTCTTCTACAGCACTTTTAGAAAAGTCCTTGAAACAACAACTTTATATGCACCTTATCAAACTGCTTGAGGAAGCTTTCTGGACCAGCATAATAGTTCTCCATTGGCAGCCATACCTTATGTCTTTTCTGACTTGCAACTATTTACCTGTCAAAAATTGTTATATATTTTCCCTCCAGTGGAGAAAGAAAAAAATACCTACACTTGTTCAGCCATACACAAAATTCTTCCTCAATTCTTTAATATGAAAACTTTGTAGATGGAGATGATTATCTTAGGCCTTGGTTATATAAGTTACAAGTACAGTCTTGATGCTGAATGGATCTGGACAAACAAAGGTATAATTCTGACGTATATTATAGAGTTTGGAAAAGAAAGATGCTTTCAAACTAACGCTTTTCACAAGCATTTGCTCAAAAAGAACTGTTAGGCATCATCCCTGAAATACAAAGAACAGACCTCTTTCTTTGACAAAATAAAATTGACCAAACTAGAATTAAAGGGCATATATGGAAAAGAGTGTGGAATGCTTATACTAAAATAAAGTCCACTCAATGCAGCCTTTTGATTTGCAGTAAAATTCTCCACACTTCTTAAATAAAAAGGGACATTAAATTCCCATCTGAAATGGTCAGCAATTAATAATGTTAATGGATACAGATGAATTTGAAAGGCAGGTATGGATGAGCTACATGAGAAATGCACGGCATTAATAATGTACTTTGCTTTCCCTCCCTCCACCCTTCCAAGAAGCCATGACAAGACAAATCTATCTTTTTTTTTCTTAAAACCTCAACTCAGTAGCACTTTAAAAATATCCTTCCTCAAGAATGTTTTCCCTTCTCAAAGATACAATATACTCATGAACAAAATACTAGAGTTTGCAAAGTTTCTATTTCATTATAAAGAACTACTGTATATGAAGGAGCATATTCTAATTGCGTTCAGATGATCGTGAGTGAAAAGCTTGACAATACAACAGTACAACTGGAAACTTCCCCTAGAAAACATGCATTATAATCATTCTGCCAATAATATGAGTGTTTGCTACAATAAACTCTTTAGAGTTCTACTGCTGTTTACACGAAATAATGCTGCTCCCTGCTTCATCCTTTGGCTGAAAGCAGTACTTGAATAGTTAGAAACTCATCTAAAAGCAACAGCATGTGAAGGAGATGCATGCTTTTGGTAATACATGATGCTAAAGCTGTTAAAAATTTTATTTTTCCCCACAAGTAACACCTCCCTCTTTGTTGACTGTTAGTAACTTGTTTATTATATGGCTTTTGTCTCATTCCAGCCATGTGCAGTACACAGAAGGTGAGAGAAGGAGGATGCATTTTGTTGGTGGAAGATACATATTCAATTTGATGTTGTATTATAAACTTCTTCAGCAACTTCATATACAATATTACATATAAATAGCTATTTCTGTTTAATCATCTCTGCTAAAACTGCCAAATGCAACCTTAAAGTAGGGTCGAAGAACAATATGTGGTATTTAGCAGGGAAATGGAAAGAGGCAAAAATGTCTCTTTCAAACTGTTCAGACTTCTGTTTTTCCACTTCAGGCAGCTGTAATAGCATATTTAGTAACAGAGTGGGTTTCTTTGGGTTTTTGGTTGGTTGGTTGGTTGGTTTTTTCACAAAGATATATGCAAGTACTTTAACTAGTAGGCACCAATTAATTCCTGTCCACTGAGCTAATAAAAAACTGTGTGTCCTGAGAAAAATGAGAGTCAAACCCACAATTTGAATGTCTGAAAGTTCTTCAAAGTTCAGCCGATGCTCTTCTACCTTTGTAAACACAAATCTGTTCCACTGCTGTTATTTTTATACAGAGATCATTGCAAGCACTTTTATCTCTAGATGCTTGCTCTGACAAGTTATACCACAGCAATTTGTTAGTGACAGCGTCCTAACCTAAAAAATAATCAATCTTTTGCTTATGCATGGTATGATTTCCCCATTGTAAACATGATTTTTTTTTAAAAAAGGATGTTCTCCTAACCCAGATTTATGGATTGAATGCTAGATGTGCATGCTGAATGACATTTGTCTAGGTGCTGCAGAAATGTGCCAAGAACATTCATCTGCCACTTTCATAATGCTGTGTTTATAAGAGCTCCTTCAGCAGTGAGCCAATGAATGTCCTTGCAGGTGTTTTTACTATGAGCCAATAAGAATAATCAAATGGCTAGGCAGGTAATTCCTTCACCTGTTCAAGTGTAATAGAGTATGTTTATTTCTTTTCTTTCAAGCTGAAAGAATTGCAAAACAGTGTACTGTCTCTCTTAGGGTTCAATCTAAACATGAAACACTGCATGGACTCCCAATTCCTTTATTGCACTAATAATGTGATCTCTTCCCACAGCAGAAATGCTTTTCTCAAAATGATGAAATAATGGACACCGAGTGGAATAGGATTAAGCTCTTCTCTATAGGTTGTCAACTCAGAAAATTAATGCTCTGAGCTCTATAGAAAGCCTTCCAGAAAACAGAGATACTGACCAGTGAGATTTACCTGATTTTCATGCCCTACAGCCTGTAGTACCACTGAAGAGATCTTAATTAGAACACATTCACAAATGCAACTTACGGTTTTGATATCTGGTAGGATGAACATCCAGATTTGCAACTGTTAATGCGAACCTCTCAGATTAGCTAACTACACATTTTGCTTTAGAAGTATTATTCCAGGTTAGGCCTCATAAGAAATTATGGCCAGGAAAGAAAGTGCAGTATTTATGAAGCTAATCATCTGATAAAGGACAGTTCTGAGATTTAACCAGGTGGAAAAGGCAATAGAGACAAATGGTACTCTGAAGAATGCTTAGGAACGATCAGGATTCAACAGAACTAAGATGCTATTATTAATGGCAAATGGTCACCTTACAACTTTCCTAAATACTTAACAGCTCATGTTTGCAACCTACCACTCCAATGTGATTCCCTTCTATTTTCCACAAGAAACCCCCTAACATTATGTTGTCAACTCTTAGTAAACTACACTTATTACTACACTTATTTTCCCAGTCTCCACTTCCGCAAATAACACCAAACATTAAATAAAAAATGGCATTAGGAAAAAACACTATTTCAAATATCTGCTATGTTTTAGATACTATTCTGAAAACCTAAAGGAGCATTAACAAGTCATTAAAAAGTAATACTTTCAAACAATTTGAGCTGACAAATACCAAGCAGATTGTAAAATAAACCAAGGTTCAGAAACACACACTATACATGTCACTATATCATTCCATTTGTATGATAAAAGCCACTCTGCCACAGAAAACATGTAGCAGGGAGAAGGAAATTTGCACACTTTGGTGCATCCTTCCCTGTTTTTTAGAGGAGCTTCATCCTCTCTTACTCTTGACACACCCAAATTAGTATTCCTTTCACGGACTCAGAGAATAGCCAAGGCCATAAGGGACCTCCAGTTCAACCCCCCAGTCAAGGAGGGTCATTTGGAGCAGATGTCCAGGACCATGTATGGTTTTTATTATCTCCAAGGATGGAGATTTGATGGTCTCTCTTCTTACAGATTGTAACATCAAGACTGCATCTTCTGCTTTCCACAGATCTGGGTAGCGGTTTATGACACAAGTGGCTTAGGAAATTCTCCTCTAGAGTAAGTATAGACCATTTTTGAAAATTAGAAGACATTCAAAAAAAGTTTACTGGGACACGAGGGGTACAGGAAATAAGCCATATCCTCAGATTACAAAGTTTAATTTTAAATAAACAACAAAAACCCCATTGTTATTAAGGTGTCAAAAAAGATGTGACATAATGTGTGTAGAGTATTTGAATCACTGCAGAGACAGACAGTGATAGGAGGCTCAGCTGCGTGACAGAAGATTTTATGCAGCCTTCAACAAGCAGTTCCAGGTGGAAACAGGTGGAAACACAAGCAGGAAAGAAGGGGATTTATCTTATTTTGTAACCCAGTGTTGCTCTGAGCTGGGTTAAACAATAATTGAATAGCTATATTTTGTCTACCAGGAACTATGAGCAAGTAAAAGAAAAAAAATTCTCATATACCACTGAAAACTTTGAAACAATGGTGTTAAGCCAGGTGTCAATTCCCTCATTCGTGGCAACCGCAGGTTCATTGAAACACTGCACTTTAGAGAATAAAACCATCAAAATTGTTATTTGATTTTCTAGCAGCCAAACAATGCAGATTGAGAAAAGGTCAGGGTTTTCTTCCGTGAGTGGGAGTGAGTACCAGGAATGGTGGGAACACTAGGAACAAAAGAGGCCACAGACAGTCACATTATTGATACTCTGGCTCCATCGACTCACTATTCTTAGAGATTTCCAGCACATTGTTACAATACTCTGCCAGTAACTACAACTGCTGAGAAATGTTCCCTTCCCATTCTTGCTTATCTGAGGGGAAAAAAAGAAATCAATGCAAGAGAATGACTGAATTATATTTGAGTGGACTAGCTTTGATTTTTAGTCATTGAGGTCATCCAAGACATTCACAAGTTGACAGGAAATACAATAGACTGCTTTGACAGACAGCCAGTGAATTTAAATCTATTGCTCATGTAAGGCAATATGGAACATACAGTTCTTTGTCCATCTTCTTTAAATACACTGATGAGCAGTGTGTTGCCTT